CTGGGGAATTCTGGGAGTTGAAGTCCATACCTCTTAAAGGTGCCAAGGTTGAGAAACACTGTTCCAGAGGGTGAGCTTGATGAAAAAAAAACCCTCTCTCTTTTTGGGAGGTGAGTTGGGGTGGAGTGGAGGAAAAGCCATTGGCCAAATAGTGAGAACCAGTACTTTTAAGAATTTGTTTTGCATGTGGTCACCCGACACTAACGTTGAAGCGGTGTTTGCCATCCCAAATGCAGAGTTGTTGTGACAGTCAGTTACAATCCTTTCTCATTTCTCTTTCCTTTCTCTCCTTTTTTTTCCTCCCCACTAAAAGGAACGTACGTTCTGCATTCCAATGCGATTTCCCCTCTTAGACCCAGACAGGTGGGCAGCGGGTGCCATTTGCTAGCTGTTTTCCTTGAGATTTCTCTCTTTTTTTTCCCTTCCTTCCTTCCCTCCCTCCCCTTCCTTTCTCTCTCTGTCTCTCTCTCTCTCTCTCTGTGTCTTCCCCCTTTCCAAAGACAAGCAAAGCGGTTACTGGGCCAGATCGTAGATCGGTGTCGTAACGGGCCAGGCTTTCACAACGACGTGGACACCAACAGCACAGTACAAGAAATTCTCATCCCAGCATCCAAAGTGGGCCTGGTCATTGGCAAAGGCGGCGAAACGATAAAGCAACTCCAGGTGCGCAGAATCCCACATCCCGCGCCCTCCCCGTCGCCTGTCCACCCACCCACCCATCATCCCCTCCTGTGTGAAGGACTGACCTGTCGAGAGAGCTGGGGCAGAGAAGGGGGGGAGTTTCTCTATGACCTTGCCCTCTTTTACGAGTTGAGATCCAAACTGTTTGGGAGTCCTTGGAGTCTCCCTTGTCCCTTCCAACGTTCCTCTTCTTGCAACAGAGGTGAGCAATGGATGGGCAGCCAAGGGTCCCGCTATACCGACCGCTGAGTGCAGCAAAGCAGGTGGGGCTACGTCACCTCTGTCACTGGAGTGATAGATGATATATTCTCATTTTTGAGTGTCGCCCATCACTAGGAGCTGCGCAACAGGGCATCGCTCTTCAGTTGGGCTCGGAAAGGCATGCCAAGCCCCCAAAGGCCCACCTCTACCTTGGCCCTCTAGAAGTTGCCGAATTCCACCTCCCAGCATCCCTCACTGCTGGCTAGATGGGTTGGGGAAGCTGGGATCTGTAGTTCAGTGATGGAGGGGGCTCTGTCCTTCAGCATTAGAATTGCTGCTTTAGCCTCTGCTGCGTTTCTTTGACACCGCCCCCCTGAGAGAACCCTCCAAGAAAGTTTTCGATGCGAAGCAAAACCATAAACAGGTCCCCGCTTTGCTCTGCCTCCCCAGCCCCGTCTGCCTTATATCCAGTGTTCGAATGACTGAATCTCCAGGGCTCCTGTCAATTCCCTCCCTTGCAGCCCCCCCCACCCCCTTGTCCTATTTTTCATAGCTTTCAGGCTTTATTTTTATTTTTTTTATTATTTTTTTGGCATTCCATTTATTCTTGTAGTGTTTTTTCTCTCCCCCCCCACCCCTCCCTCCCGTTATCTGTGCGATGCATGCGTAGGAACGAACGGGCGTGAAAATGATTATGATCCAAGATGGCCCTTTACCGACTGGAGCAGATAAACCCCTTCGGATTACTGGAGATGCTTTTAAAGTACAGGTGTGTATCAGAGGATTTGCAGTCGTGCTGATAAAAAGAGTTCTGGGAGGATTTGGCATAATGGCTTGGTGGGGGGTGCTAGCTTGAGATTATTTTTCTGGCGTGTGTTTGGGGGGGGGGCTTATGGTCCGAACAATCTTCTCTCCTTGTTTACCTCTCGCCTCTTTTACATTAGTAACCTTCCCCCTTCCGTCCCAATTGAGTTCGGCCAAGTAAAAAAAGCCAAAGCAGGATGCAAATCTGTGCATCGTGGGGGAAGAAAGATAATGTAGGCTGCATAGTGCTTGCTGAACTATAATACAGTAGAAAGCAAGCTGGGGGGCCCAGCTGTTAGAGCGTCAGGGTAGGACTGGAGAGATCTGGGTTCAAATCCCCGCCTTGCCTTTAGGGTGGATTTTATTTTATTTTCCCCCCTTCCTTTTCTACTGAAATGGCATTTGTCGCCACTAAGCAGGTCATTAAAAACATAGTTAGAAATACAACCAGTGTTTATACACCAAAAGATGTGTATGACATCAAGAAGAGGCTGAGTGTTAAAGCTGGCAAGACAGAGAAGGGGAGAAAAAAACACCACACAGCTATATGCCCGGAAACAGAACACCTTGGTGCTCATGAAGTCCAGAAACGAATCTGGAAACATGAAATGGGATTGCCCCCTCCCCGCCGAAGGCCTGTTTCTGTTGGAATAATGGCCCAACTCCAGAAGAAAGGGCAGAGTGAGAAGCCCTTCGCGGTGTTATTCTGCTGATTAAAATGGTGGGAGGATTCTCCTGTTTATCGAGTCAGAATCTGGACGCCCAGCGTTTCACTGCATTTCTAGCAGAAGTGGCTTCTGCTGTCCAAACAGCATTTGTGCTGTTCCCAGTGTAAAACCTTCATTTCCCCCCACCCAAAAGCCCTTGATTCCAGTCCCAAGCATCATTCCTCAAAATGGAAGAAACCCTGGGCGGGGAACAGGGGGAGAGAAATCCTATTGTCTCCATCTTTTTTTCTTCCTTCAGTTGTCATTACAGGACAAGCTGGTTTTTTTTCCGTTCTCCAAATCAGAAATGTCTTTCCTCGTTTTGCACACGCCCATCCTGTTTCCTGCCTTCCCTCCTAACCCCACCTCAGTTTAACACTTAGAATAACCTCCAGTGCGATAAAAGA